ACGACCTTTCTTATGGCTTGTTGAGTAGACAGAGCTGCCAGCGATCCGGCCATATTTGGGCGTGTTGGATCTGATCTTTTACACCCATTCGAACCTTAAGCTTCAGGCTGTCGAAAGACTTCAAGTTTTTTCGGCTCAATTCTGTAGGAGTGTGTAGCCACAAAAGTCACTTTCTTGACTTTTGAGTCTTGGTTTGTTGTAGAAGGTGTTGTCTCGATCTTTTGAGAAATCACCTGCATATACTTTAGAGAATAAATATTCGTGTTCTTTAGCACAAAAAAATATTTGAATTGATAATTTTAAATATTTATTCGGGGATCTCGGCATGCAGCGCAATGTCGACCCGAATAAATATTTAAAATGCCCCCTGTCTTACAGAGACATTTAAAAATGAAATAAATTTGGAATTTTTTGAGATTTTAAATATTCATTTGGGGATCTCGGCGTGTAGCACTATATCGATCCAAATGAATATTTAAAATGCCCCCTGTATCGTAGGGACATTTTGGATAGGCTTTTCGTTTTTGAGATTTTAAATATTTATTCGGAGATCTCGGCATGCGGCGCGATGTCGACCCGAATAAATATTTAAAATGCCCCCAGTCTGATGGGGGATTCTGAAATGCATTCTTGTTGTACAAGAGAATTTCAAAATAAGAATGTAAGCATGCATTAATAATCATGCACATAACACTTTTGATCATCACAAAGTACATTAGTCATAAATTTTTTCATGCTTGGTACTTCTTTAGATGTCGATCGTTAATAGGCGCCATAGGCCTCTGACCGTTCAGATCGATCAATTGATAAGCTCCTCCTTGTTACACCTTCCCGACGATGAAGGGGACTTCCAATTGGATAGGAATTTGCCACCAATTTTTTCTGTGTGAGATGATTGGCCTTCTCAGCACCAGGACCAATTCTCCTTCTTAAAATGTTCGATGGCGCACCATATGATCAAAAGATTTTATCATTATTCCTCGATAGATTTCTAGGTTTTGTTGAGCTTGTAACCTAAGTTCATCAAGTGGATCGAGTTCTTCCATTCTGAGATGGGCATTCTTGGTTTTGACAATCACCTGTTCTTTTATCTCCAATCTCATTCTTTTTGAAGCTTGCTTTACTGGTGTTGCATCTAATTTGATGGCTAATTTGTGAACTGCTATACAAGGGGATAAGCTAGGCATCTCGACATATACCCGGGCAGAGCAGTCCCTGAATTCACAAAGAAACTCTTTATTTCCTCTGCTTGCTCTTTTGAGAAGAACATCACTAATGAAGGTTGGGCGAGGTTCTTCTCCAATATGAGAGGATATATTTGATAAGTGATGGAATTTCTTGAAGGATTCTTCAAGATGTCGATCATCGATAACATTGTCTGTAGGGTCATCTTTAGGTCCCAATTTTGATGATTTTTTTTTTAAATGGTGGATCTTTAGGGGTACACACTAGATGTCACACCATTATTTGAATTTTTTTTTTTAGAGATGTGAGTCTCTATATTTGTTTTTCACTTATGTCGGGACCTTTCGGCAGTGGATTCCTGGATATGCTTTCAAGTGTCGCACTCCAATGCTCACCGTACATATCTTTACTTTTTTTTTTTATTCTACCATCATAAAAGATGGTAGCTTTTAGCTCTATCGGGACCTTTCAGTGATGGATCTTTGAACATAATGATCAAATGTCACATCTTGATGTTCACCGTACACATCTTTCTTCTTTCTTTGCTCTACCATCAAGAAATATGGTAGCTTTTAACTCAATCAGGACCTTTTAGTGATGGATTTTTGGACATAAGGACCAAATGTCACATCCTAATGTTCACCGTATAGAGCATAGTATTTGTGGCGACCCCCAAGATCCGTGTAGCGAAAGGATTCATCTGATCGTTCATTCTCTTTTTCTGTCGATTTAGCGAGACAAACAAATTATCCAACAGCAACGAACGACGAAAACCGCTCCGCGGGCCCTGAAATCGGACTTTTCCTCTGGTTCCTTTTCCTCTGTCTCTCTCAGGAAAAAGATTTTTATTTTTATTTTTATAAAAATTCTCTCTCCTCAAATCGAGCTGATTTCCTTATAACATAAAGCTGATCGGCCCGGCCGATCCACCTAATGGTCCAGGCCGATGTGAACAAATTCACATCGTCCAGGACGATTCCCCAGGACGAAGCTGGACGATCGAACAGGTTTTGCTCTATGTATTCTTATCGTATCTGATCGTCCCCGGCCGATCCAAATCGGCCTGGACGATCCTGGAGCAAACTCTGTACCGAGCTATACCAAGCAAATTTGAACTAATCGTCCCGGGACGATCCAACTATTGGCCCGGACGATTCCATTCCAGCAAAACTCCAGAAATCAGTCCAGAAAACTCAGCTCTATCCATTACACTGATCGTCCTGGACGATCCCAATATCATCCCGGACGATCCTGGGAGAAAAATCCATTTCAGAGAGGAACAGTAAGGGGACGAGATCTCACAGTATTTTAGTTGCTACTACATCATTTAAATGACTAGCCAAAGATGGAAAGAAAAACCAATCCCCAGCGGAGTCGCCAGAAATCTGTAGGCGACTCCGATTGTTGGCTTTTAGCTCTATCGGGACCTTTCAGTGATGGATTTTTGGATATAATGATCAAATGTCACATCCTGATGTTCACCGTACATAGCTCAACATTATCATCAATTTTTTTACTGCTACTATAACATTTAGACAACTAGCCAAAGATTGAAAGAGAAACCAATCCCCAGCGGAGTCGCCAGAAATCTGTAGGCGACTCCGATTGTTGGCTTTTAGCTCTATCGGGACCTTTCAGTGATGCATCTTTGGACATAAGGACCAAATGTCACATCCTGATGTTCACCGTAACATCTTTATTCTTTTTTTTTTTTTTACCATCATAAAAGATGGTAGCTTTTAGCTCTATCGGGACCTTTCAGTGATGGATCTTTGGACATAAGGACCAAATGTCACATCCTGATGTTCACCGTACAGAGCTTAGTATTTTAGCTGCTACTACAACATTTAAATGACTAGTCAAAGATGGAAAGAGAAACCATTCCCCAGCGGAGTCGTCAGAAATCTGTGGGCTCCGAAAATTCGGCCCCGGCCTCCGCTCGCTTTTCTTATTCGGCGAGGGAGTTTTAACTGAACTAGTTCCGAGGTAAATTTTGGAAGGCAGATGGGTTTGTAGATAAGACACTACCCAGAGATTTCGCCCTCATTTGGTGAGGACTTTATGATCTGAGTTCTGGTTTCCTATAGGCGCAAGCCCCTATAGTTAATTACCCCTCCCGATCATGAGAGAGAACTTTCGATTAAGGCTAGTCGTCAATCAGATACGTAGAGATACGTGTTATCTGGCATATAATAGCAGCATAGGTTTAGGTATTTGAAATGTTTGGAAGTTTGGGAATTTGGGAAATTTGATATTTAAAAATAGAAATTTCACCATCTTGCACTTAAAGCGGATGGTGGGGGAATGGATGATAGGCCCGATCAAGATCCCATGGTTCCGTCGTCCCGGGCCATCGTGGTCCCTGGTCTACTTAGTCAGAGGAGATAGTCGACCCAACCTGACAGAAGGATCCTTGTCGGCAGCCATGGGTTGCTTCGTCCAAGGAGACCTTGTAGATCTGGGGTTGAATGTTTGTCTAAGGAGACAAATTTGAATCCACCTTAGCTATACAGAGGGCTTTGTGCCCTATCAATTATATCCTATTGATTCATATCTCAAGGATTTATCTGCACTTACCTAGACGTCACGTGTATACCAATAACACGCTCGTCGGGGCCCATGCAGGTTTGGGGGCATTTTATGATATTTATCGAACCTTGTCGACTCCTATTATTTGTTTAGAAGGATCGGGTTCAATTTTAATAACCCGCTCAGCATCCCTAAACGTCACGTGTGTACCAGTAACACGCTCGCCGGGGCCCATGCGGGTGTTTGGGGGCATTTTATAATTGAACCCTGTCAACTCCTTTTATCTACTTAGAAGGATCGGGTTCAAATTTAGTAACCCGCATAGCATCCCTAGACGTCACGTGTGTACCAATAACACGCTCGCCGGGGCCCTTGTGGGTTGAAATTATACTTTCCCCTTTAGTGTACCTATGTGTATACAATTTATAGTGCACGTGCAGGGGTACTTCGAAAGTATTTGTAGACGCCTTATGTCCGCTAATACGAATGTTGCGGATCCGGTGGCGTGGCGTAGCAGCTTCTGAATAGATTTGTTCGCTGCTTCGTACAGGTAGACTGTCGTGCACTACTCGTTGCATTCCGCTGGTGGATCGTAGTGTATTAACGAGTCTCCTGCTTTTTCGGTTTGTTGATTCTCGCATTCATCATGGTTCTTCCATATTTGCTTACATATAGTGTACTTTATATATAATGAATTTTCTACAGTAACTCGTAGGAGCTTGCATTCGTTGTAGTTATCTTGCACTTTGCTTGTGGATAGCTTTCTTAGGCACATCTTAAAGAACCAAATTGTTGCTAAGGTTCTTCGTGATTTATCTGTAATTCTCATAATTCTCTCTTGACTGTCGTTGATTTCACTTGACTGGATAAGTGACTTGTAATTCTGCTTTTTTTTTAATTATTGAGAAATTTGACATGTCATAAAGACATCTTAGTAAAATAAAGATCTCAGACATATGAGATAAGCCTCTTTGTTGCTATGCTCCCATGTTATACAGTTTGTAGATGCTTTCTTTTACCACAATCTCTTCTCCGTCTTGCTTGTGATATGATATGTTGCATGTCCATGTCCATGAAGGATCCCTTGTACTTGCAATTTCTCTACTGTTGTTGCTTATAGATGAGCCGTATTTATCATATTTCCCTTTGAAACGCACTTGCGAATGGCATACTTTTGTAGTTGCTCATGTGCATTGCAATCGTATTACTCTTATTTGTGCACAATATGCAAAGGGCATTTTTACTTAGTGTATACCCTTCAATATTATTTCTTAAATATCTTCTTCAACTTTGTTTCTTGCATGGTTGGGTATATGAACTTTTAAATTCATATTCAAAAATCCATTGATTACAAATTCTTTGTTGTCTTTGAGAATAATCTGTAGCAATCATAATGGACCTAGTGATGTTATATGTTGATGCTTATTCTCCAATCATCATGACATGTTTTATTACATATTACTAGTTTCTTCTATCATCACTTGCAAGTTGAGACATTGTTGCTTTTTTTTGTAAATAAATTGTATTTGACCCTTGTTCATCACACATTCATTGCAAGTCTATCTCACTTGGTTCAGACCAAGTTCATAAGTCTCATGTGATTTATTCAATTCAAGTTCATGTTCATAGTTCTATGTCCAACTCATTTGAGTTCAAATAGTCCCCTGCTGTCTTCTAGAGTCCAAGTCCAAGTTAAAAATGAGTTCAATCAAGTTCTAGTTCATTTGCACATTTTTTTATTTATTTGGGTTCAACTTCAGTTAAGTCCATTTGATTCAAGAATGAGTCCACAAATGTCCAAATAATGTCCAAGTCCTTGTATGTATTTCAGACAAAATTTTGGCAGCCTCCCGGCGTCTCCCCCGTTTAGGAGAAAAACTAAGAGACCGCCTACCCGCCACGTCAACAAAGACGTGCACGGTTGGAGTTTGTGAGACACCGCGGCAGTATTTTTTTTTGTATTTTTCTCCCACCACGGCCAACAAAGGCGTGCATGGGGTTTTAAAAAGTATTTTATGAAAAGATACAGTTTTCCTTTCCCCCCGCCCGAGGGTACTTATAAGTGACCCTGCTTCGCCGTACGTGCCGCACCAGGATCACATCCCACCACGGCCAACAAAGGCGTGCATAAGACGGTTCTCCGATTTGCCACGAACATTGAAGTAGGGTTTTGGTGATTGTCCGCTTTGTCGTAAGCATCGAACAGGCGTTCCATCCCACCACGGCCAACAAAGGCGTGCATAGGTGGTTTTCCGGTCCGCTACGAACAACAAAACGAGAATCTGAGTTAGAAATTCATACCTTCGCGATGATTGGTGGCGACGACGAGATGCACAAATACAACACATTTCCTCTTTTTTTTATCTCTTCTTTTTTTTTTCTTTTCTTTCTTTTTTTTTTATCACTCATACATATACACACACATACATGTACCAACAATGATAATATAACTAACTAATACTATCGACTGATTAACAAGATTGGTAAAAGACTCACAATAATCAACATTGATAACTAGCATTAATGATAATACTGGTAAAGTAAAATGGAATTAGAATGAACTAAAAAAAAAAACTTTGCTGCTTGGGCCCTTGCCAAGGGATTTGCTTGAGAAATTAGGTGGGCTTTTTGGCCTTAGAATGGGTATAGGAGAATTTCTTGAAGTGTGGGATTGTTTTAATGTGATTCTGGATTGCTGTAGGTTCCCACGTGAGAAAAGGGAGCAAGAAGCTTGGTGTAATTCATGTGAAAGGAGCAGAAGGTGAGATACAGTAAATGCAATACTCTCCAAAACAAACTTTACGTGAAAAGCTTTCTTGTGGGTGGATTTATAAGAAAATGAGCTGGGATTCGGCGTTGAGAAGAACAAGGTTGAGCTGTTGATCTTCAAGTGTAGAGAGCTGTAGGAGTTGGCTGTGATGTGGAGGAGATCGAAAGGGAGTAGCTGCTGTTTTTGCTTGGAGTAGTTCGGAGCAGCAGAGGGGAAGATGTCCAACAAACTTGAACTGATCACTATTTCTTCATTTCTTTTTATATCAAGGTCCTTGGTTAGATATTTCTCTTTAATGTTAATCTCGCAAAATGACAAGCAGAATAGACCCCATGCTGAGTCCGTGAGGTGCTCTCCATTTTACTGTCCATATGGAAATAGCCGAGAACCTCTTCCACAGTAAGCTTCACCATTTCAGGTGCAGTTGGGGCTTGGAAACAACTCAGGTTGGTATATGGGAAGATGGTTGAGCAGAAAAATGTATTCGGGACTCCTTGCTTGCGGTCTTGAAGCAAAAACTCTTGAGTTGCCGGTAATATTACTTCATTGGCGTGTAGCAGAGAAAAGGAAATGGAAGAGCAAGACTTTCGGTTTTTCTATCGTTGTGGAGAAGCGGGCTGCCTTTGTTGTGATGGAAGACTTCTGGGAGAAAGTGAGAGCTTCTTTCCTTTGTGAGGAGAAGGAGATATTGGCGTTGGGTAGATTGAAGAGGTGGAGGCTTTTATTTTTGTTGTTCCAAAAAGAAAGTCCAACCGGACTTCATTCTCCTATCTCTTAATTGATGAAGCAGATCTCCCCTCAGATGGGTTTTACGGGACGAGATCGCAAGCTCAGCGGGATTCAAGGAGTTTTGACAGGATTCAGAGAAGAAATAATCCGATTTGATACGAGGTTTGCATTAATGACATTAAATCCGATTTGACTTTTGATTTCTATCAAATTAATAATAATATTTAATGATAAAATATTATTATCAATATTATGATTAATCAGAATGACATTTGATCTTGATTTGCATGTTTCCTCGATATTTGTGGGTATTTAATCTCGTTGTGCGTGTCGATCTTGCCGAACAATCATAATTGGACAAATTAATAATGGATTTATGGTATTTCTGATGTTCCGGTCGCAACGGCGATGTCCGTCTTGAAATCGGACGTCATTTGAGTATCGTCGAGGTCTCATTTTCTTCGAAAAGCGTGTTTTGCCTCGAGATTCGTGCCACCATTATGGATACTTAAAATTGAATAAACAAAATACAGTTTTCGAAGGTTGACAACGTTCCGGACGCAATGGCACTATCCGTTTGTTAATCAGACGTCGTTTGGGTGGCAACGAGGCATCATTTCTTTCGTAGCGTATGCCTTCGCGTCATATTTGAGTCGACTTTAAAATTTACGACACCACCTCAAACGATCCAATTTGATCAAATAAAATATATATTTCTAATGGCGATGACGTTTCGGACGCAATGGAGCTGTCCTTTTGTCTATTGAACATCATGTCATCTCCGAAGAGGTAAATTTCTTTGATATGCGCGCTTTCGCATCATATTTGGATCGTCTTTAAAATTTGCGACACCACATTAAACGATCCAATTTGATCAAATAAAATGTAGACTCTTAATGGAAATGACGTTTCGGACGCAATGGTCCTGTCCATTTCATGATCGGGCATCATGTCGTCTCCGAAGAGGCAAGTTTCCCTCGTAACGTGTGCCTTTGGATCATATTTGAATCGCCTTTGAAATTTACGACGCCACCTCAAATGATCCAATTTAATCAAATAAAATGTATATTCTTAATCCTAATGATGTTCCGGACATAATGGCGCCACCCATTTTACAATCGGACATCATTTCACCACCGACGAGGCTAAGATCCCTCGAAATACACGCCTTAGCATCATATTTGAATCCCTTTGAAATTTGCGACACCACATCAAACGATCCAATTTGATCAAACAAAATGTAGATCTTTAATGGCGATGACGTTCCGGACGCAATGGCGCTGTGCGTTTGTCGATCGGACGTCGTTCGAGCATCTTCGGGGACTCGTGTCCGCGATATACGCATCTTTGCATTACATTGGAATTTGTGCTACCAATCTATATACTCCAAATGGAATAAACAAAATGCAATTTTCGTAGGTTGGCAATATTCCGGATGCAACGATGAAGTCTATTCGTCAATCCGGGATCGTTTGATCAGTCTTGCACTTTAATTTCTGGTGTCGGTCGTCCCTTTTGACTGGTCTCGTCCGATTCGATTGTGAGAGGCCTCGACCCAATAGAATTCAATGTTCTGATTGCAACGACACCGTCCGTTTGGCAATCAAATGTCATTTGACCCTTCAAGTGACGTATGGTGCCAAGGGGAGCAAGGCTTTATTCACCAATTGGGGTCCTTTCTCTCATGGTTTGAGATATAGGGGTCAACAGTACAAAGTTGCCTTCTCCAATTCCTAAAACTCTTCGACACTTGTCTGTTCTAGCTGAAAATCCAAACATCATAAAGGAGATTGAGAAGTTTAAATATTTGCATTCTCTTTCCTTGTTCTATCTACCTTCTTATCAGGATATCTGTGCACTTGGTAAAATATTCAAAGCAATGAGAAGCCTACGCTTGTTAGAGGTATTTGCCACAACCTTGGAAATGATACCTGAGGAGATTGAAAATTTGATACATCTTCGATTCTTAAATATTACAATTCGGGATTTGACTAAGCTGCCAAGATCTGTAAGTAATCTCTATCACTTGCAATACATAATCTATATTGGATGGATGCCAAGGCAACTTGAAGAGGATTTTTTACCAAGTGACATTAATAACCTTTCTAACTTGCGTTACTTGGAATTTTCATATGGTTGTATTTCATCGATATGTGGGATTGAGAAGCTAAAGTATCTTACAGAACTGAATAACTTTGTTGTTAGAGATGTGAGTGGTTATAGAATTGGGGAGCTGAAGAACATGAATGATCTTTGCAAATTAGGAATCACTTGCCTTGAAAATGTTAAGGATGCCGAGGAGGCTCACAGATTTGACCTTATGGTGGAATATCACTGATTTGAGGAACATCAATTTATATGAGAATGTGCTCGACAACCTTCAGCCACCAAATTGTCTAAGGAATCTGAATATAGATAGCTACATGGGTGCAAGGTCTGCTATATGGATGAACAACGTCAATCTTATCACCAAGCTAGAGAAAATCAATTTGACAAACTGCATGGAGTGGGAAACTCTTCCACCTTTTGGGCAACTGCCCTTCCTCAAGACACTGATACTTGATAAAATGCCGAAAGTAAAATGGCTCGAAAGTAAATTTAATGGGAATGATAAATACCGTGCCTTTCCATTGCTAGAGGTTTTACATATTACGGAATTAGAAGCATTAGAGGATTGGTTTGAGGCAGGAGTAGCTGCTGAAGATGGATGTTTGTTTCCTTGCTTAATTCAACTGGAGCTCCAAATCTGCCCGAAGTCGAAAGAGTTGCCCTCTTTGCCTTCTAATCTCAAGAGCTTGGACATGCTATATACGGGGTGGAAGACTTTGAATTTTTGTAGCAATTCAAATCCTATTCTTCTTGAATCATTAAAGGTCACTTACTGTCCAAACATTACATCTATTCGTCTGGCTGATGAAATAGCAAGACTTGCAGCACTAAGAGACTTGACAATTATAAATTGCCCCAATCTGATCTCTCTCGGAAGATATCCAGAAGTGGAGGCCAATAATAATTGTCATCTCATGCTCAACTTTCTTGAAATAAGTGATCCATCGATGTTGCTAATGGAGCCATTGAGAAGTATCGCCTCCTTAAAAAAGCTGAGTATTATGTATAATGATGAGGTGGTTTCATTTCCAAATGAGGCGGAGCAGTGGTTTCTGAATGTTAGTTCATCTCTTTCTGAGCTGCAATTTAAATGGCTCAAATCCTTAGTCTCTCTCCCTTCAACCTTGGAAAGCTTATCTTCGCTTCAGAAACTATCTATTGGTCCTGCCGTTCATATGCTTCGGGAATTACCGAACCTTCCTCCCTCTTTGGAATCTCTATCAGTTGGGGGATGTCATCCAGAGTTAAAGGAGCGCTATCGAGAGGATGGAGGCTCCGATCGCCACAAGATTGCTCACATTCCTGAAATCTATATTTCTACCTAAGCAAACTTCTTTTTACGTACGTACTTATCTTATTTGTTTGATATCCGTATTTTTTAATGCAATCTCAGCATTAATCTGTTTGTAATATTTGATGTAATCAATTTTATTTATGTATCACTCGATGTACTCAACTTTATATATAAATATATTCTTCTTTTAATATTCCGTTATATATATTCACAATTAAAATTTAAATAGTTCTTTTTAATATTTTATTGGTTTCTTGAAATGAAATAATTATTGAATTATTATTTAATTTTGATTTTATGTTTTTTAGTTTGCAAAAGCAAAATAAATATTAATGATCAGTCATCTTTAATCTTTTTTTTTTTTGCAGTTTTATCAACGTTCGTATTAATTTTGTTTATTGATTTATTTATTTTTTTAGACACATGCTAACTTCTTATTTGGAAAAAGTGGAAGCGGAAGCTGAAGCTACAATTTGAACTCATTTAAAAATTTTATTGTCATTGCACAAATAGCTACAATTTGAACTCATTAATTTTATGATATAAAAAAAGAAAACTACTATTAATGCCCAACAGTTTCTATCTTGCATTACTACTCTTGATTGTTGCTTTACAAGAGTTGTATTAAAAATGAAAAGATTAAGGTTTTAATATTTTTAAAAGAAATTTTTTAGTAAAAAATTCTAGTTGAAGAAATTCTTATACTAAAAAGTTGCTTTTGAAAGAATTAATAAATACATTTCAAATAATGCTTAATAAGTCTTTGTTGTGACAGCTTTCATATTGTTTTATAAAATAGGTTTTTAATATAAAAATTACAACTAAAAAAATATTGTAGTAAAGTGTTGTTTTCAAAAGCAGTAAAAAAGTTATCCCAAATTACTAATAACTTAACTATAACTATATCTCTGTAACAACCAAATTAATAAGTAATATCATTAATTTATTGAATATATTAAAACATTTTAAAACTTGTTAATATTTATGATGTTTAAATCTTAATTCATTTATATAAGCTTAAGAACTTAGTTAAAACACATCCAAATGAAAACTTCATCACAATTTATTAACAGATTTAATATTAACAAATTAAAAAATTTTGAACTCGCAATCCTAAATGTTTCTCCTTGTAAATTTACCATTAAGAAACTCTTTAAAAAAACACCATTGTGCTATTATTTCATCATTGCTTTGTAGATTACCAATTTTTTTCTTTTCAATCCAATAACTCATCAACTGATTCTCTAAATTTCTTTAAAGCGTCTAATTATTTGAGAACAGGCTGCAACGATCAAGTCGAATTGAAGTCATACCTAATACAAACTTTTTTTTTATTTTTTTTATTTTTTTTTTATTTTTTTTTTTTTAGAAAAACCCCACAAAAAGGGGTCTACACGTTAATAAAAGGGCAAATTACAAAATCCTTATGGGAACCACAATCCCACACCCCAGCAAAAGGAAACCACAAACAAAATCAAGAAGAAGTCCAAATCAGCAGCTAAAAAAGGGCTCAGTAAACGGCCGAGGCTTCCAGCGACCCTGAATCCTTGCACGGACCGTCCAGTAAGGTGTAGACAAGGTAGAGTCCCACCAAAGGTTGCCACCAGAGAAAACCGGGCCGCGAGCCCCTTCCACATCATTGCCCATAGCCCACCAAAACAGCAAAAGCCCCCACAAAGCATATAAAACCCGAGGGTCACATGAAGAGAACAAGCGAGCAACAAAAAGACAGGCAGGGGAAATCAACGTTTACGTCGGCCTCTCCCCCAAAATCTCCCCCGAGTTGCACCAGTGATAGCAGGTCTCGTACACACCAGAGTGAAATCATTGTCATCCTCAGACGCCATATCACCTACAGACGAATCAGATTCCGACTTACCATCCGATGAAACATTCAGCCAATTAAGTTGTTCCCTGATCTCCACGCCAGCAGGGTCACCTAAACATTTAGTCATGGCTTGCGTTTCAATCTCCTTCACTGGGACATCAATTAACCTGTTAACCAAAGGCATACTCTCCACACTGGACGGAGGATCCGCCCCAAAAACGACAGGAGAAGATTCAACAATCAAATTAACAACATCATCACCATCCGGCATATCAAAAACCTGACCACACCCAATTGGATACACAACACCCAAAACCGGTGAATCTCCAGACCTCCTTTCACCCACGTCCAGAGAACTCGCTCCAAAAACAGGAGCCGAGTCCACCTCCGCACCCAGACCCACCTCCAAAGAGTCCAAAGTCACATCCGGCGGACAAAGACCGTCCACCAAAACCGAGGGAATAAACGGAATTGCATTAGGAGATAACGAAGAAAACTCACCATCCAACACCTTGACACCAACATCAAGCATATCCGGGTTATTACAATTATCAACACCAATAGGAGAATTCGTCTCAAGCTCCGAAAGACCAACAGCCAAAGCAACAGGGACAACACCGGCCACAGGGGAACCCCCTGACGGCATACGAGCAGGTAGCACCCCGAAACCAACATCCGAATTCGACACAGAGCCTGTATCAAGGTTATTAGATACCGCAGGAACATTATTCACCAGAGGACATCGATCCAAGGGGAGGGAAACACAGTTTAAAGAATTATTAGATACCAAAGTTGCAGTAACATTAGGATCCTTAACGACAACATCCAACACATCATTAACCACCTTATCATTACCAACAATCACATCCTGTTTCTCAGACACAACCACCGCCGATTTAGCCATAGGATGTAAAACAGAGCAGAAATCCTTAGAGTGGCCTAAGGTATGACAATGCATACAGAAAAGCGGAATGTCCTCAAAAACAACCGATTGAACATAACCCGTTTCCACCATTT